TGTATATACAATTTTCTCTCGCTTTATACAAACACAAACGCACTTTATACACTTGCGTTTGTATAAAAAATGAGAGAGGCGAGGGAGAGAACGAGAGTGGCGAGCGAGATTCACCAGGAGAGAGGTGAAATAGCAACAGTTTGCTATGAGGTACAATTAAATCAAACTATATTTATAGCATTTAATTTGAATTAATAGTTTGCTATTATATATAATTTTCCCTTCTTGGTATATGTGGGAAAATGACCCTTTTAAGTTTAAAATACCTATTTTCTTTCTAACTCTTTTTTATTATTTTATTTTATTCATGATACCCCTCTTTTAAAATTCTAAAGCTATAAAAGCAAAATAATAATAATAAACGGTGTCTACAAGTCATAACAAATCGATATAATTTTATATTATATTGTCATATGATTAATTACGAACTTTCATTAACGATACCTCATTTTTTTTTATGTACCTTTTCTTTATTTATTTTATTTCACTCGTAATACCTTTCTCTCTTTGTTTATTCGGTTTCACTCGTGACATCTCTTGATTCAAAGCTACAAAAGAAAAAAAAATTAACATCTGAGTTAACTCTATATTAATTCAATATATATGTCTTATTTAGTTACCACAAACCATTTCTGATTTATATCATGCTTTCTATGTAGACTCGAACCATAACTTGTAATATATCGACTTTTATTATAAGGGTATATCATGCCAATTTTTGCAACATATAAATAAAACAAAGATAAAAATGATACCACCACTATAATTAAGGGACACCTCGAACTATTTTTAGTGTACAAATTTTGAACTTTTTTTATAGAATGCACTTTACTCTTTTAATTTTATCAGATGTAAATTTAAATTAATTCAATCAATAAATTTTAAATATCGAATGATTAATTAAAAAAAATTAGAAACAAGAAGAGGATGGAAAAATAGAGAATACTATATATTGTTCGATTTTGTTGATTAACTTGATTCTTGAAAAACGATAAAGTGATGATCAGTTTATTGATTTTTGTATACTTGAATTGAATTTAACAACTGAAAATTATTGAAATTGATATTATAAGAATAAACATTAAACTCGGAGTTGTTTGAACTAATTTGGACAATTTTTTAAAACAAAAATGTGTAGGTGAAATTTGAGGATAAATCATGACAATTTATCGAAATTTCTAAATAATTTCTATCAAACTAATATATGCATGTTATATGTTGGATTATAGAGTTCACTTACTTAATCAATGATCAATTAAGATACATTTTTACTTTATTATATAACTTAATCATGTAAATTGATTTGATATAAATATCTGATACTCGTAAATTTTTACCAAAATGTTCTATCCAAAAGGAATCCCAATAATGGACCATTTGAGTAGATATTTGTATTCTCAACCACACATTTTTTATTTATTTATTTATCCACTAGACATATACTTTTAGTTTTTACTGTTTTTTTAATTGTTCTTTGATCTAGGATGGTGATGTAATATTACATGAATTAATTTTTAATATGACATAATACATAAATGTGTTTTTTAATTTAGCTTCAATTGATATTTATGTTTTTTATTTTTGATTATGCACGTGTAGACTGTTTAACTTGCGTAAAACTGAACAAATCGACAAGCGTACATGACAATTTGTGTCCTATATGTATTATGTCACGTCAGACGCATGCGTCTACTTGTTCAAGTTTATACAAGTTTAAGTGTCTACTTGTACACATTCAAAATTGAAGGTCATAGATGCCAGATAAAATTAAATTAAAGTACATATTTATGTATTATACCTTTTTAAAATTGACAGCTTAATAATTTGTCAATATATGGATTTTTTTTATTTTTTTTAAAAATTGAAACCAAAAATGATTTGATTAGAGTCTACAAAGTCTAGTCACATCTACATATAGTTGGTGCCCCAATATCATAGGTATATGACAAGGCCCTCAAGGGGCTGAAATATTCCATATTGAAATTCTAATTGAACATGCATGAAACTTGTTTGATGGACTCAGTTAAGAAATAAACTTTCGATTCTGCTATCAACCATAGAATGAAATAAACGTTTAATACTGTGTCATTTTTCTAACTGGTCCCAATTCCAAAAATCACCCTCTAGAAATTCACCAAATTTATTCTTGACCTTTAAGAACATAGCCAAAAATTTCTTTTCATAGATTCAAATTAAAATATGTCACATGTAAAATATTACAAGAAAAAAATATCTTTATGATCTGTAACTATATCTACCAAACACAACATGTGGATCTAAATCTATGCAAAGATTTTTTTTTGCTCAATAATTGATGCTCGAGATATTATCGTGCCTAAAAAAAATAAGTAGTTCAAAATAATTATAACTTTTTAAAATTAAAATATAATTGATTATTGCTTTTCACTTTCTTCTTTACTCAATAAAACATGAAGACAATTAATATGGTGAAAAAGAATGTAGCATCAAATTGAGACCAGATAATAAATAAAGATAATTTAATCAAATTACTTTTTTAATTAATATTTTCTCAAGACTTGTAGAGAAAAGGACATAAATAGTCCCTTAATTAT